GAAAAAAAAAAAATAATATTTTTTTTTCATGCAAAATTTTGTATGACCACTTTATCCATAAAAAGAGACGAAAAACACAAACAAGTCAAAATATATCAAATTGGGCACACGAAAATTTTTACTAAACTTAATAAATCGTAAAGTGAACACGAATAAACATTGAGAAAGTTTTAACGCCTTGCAGTTAGCTTGGGCGTTTTTTCCCAGTGTTTTCCCCCTCTGCTAAAAAATACATTTTATAGACTCGTGCGCGTTTTATAATATCTTTGTTACGTTTCTTTAAAATCTTTTTAATTAAATCTTAATCGACTCTAATTGAAACGATTATGTTAATATCTAAATTAAAATGATAAGAAAGAAAAAATAGGTTTTACGCCATTCTACATAATGAAAATAAATAATTACAATTCTTTTTGATGGTGCATAAAATAAAATTCCGTAATTTTTAAGATATTTATTCCGAATATTAATGATAGATATTAATTATACAATAACCCGCGTAGTATAATTATATAAAATGGGAAAAAGAAATTTATAAAACGACGTGATGCATAATTGTATAAAAAACAAATATGTGTTAAAGTATAAACTATAACACAAATGAGAAAATTTAGAATGTGATTATAGTATATTTATAGCTTATCATTTTTTTTTTTTTTATAGTCAGTCAATTGAATTTTCTGTTAATCGCGGATGACGGGATTCCTTCCGAAATTAACAAATTTCTTATAAACAAGTTTAGTTACAAGTTTATTTACTTTGTGCATGTAATAATGCCTATTGTTGGCCTAAATAAAAAAAAAAAAAATGTGGCGCTACTGTACAGTACACATTATGTATCCTGCACTGCGGTGATGCAAAAGTTATTAACTTATAAGGGTTCATTCAACGTTATCAAAAGTAAACGAAAACGAGGTAAAAAAAAAAAAAAATCTATTTTAAAGTGAATGAAATTGTGGAAATCAAGGGACCAATGTAGAACGTGTCGCGATTTACTGCATACGTTTTATAATATTCTGCCATTCTCACTGGATAAAATAGAATGAATGGAGAAAAAATTAGATCTTACAAGGTAAATAGAATATGCGCTATAGACTTGGTCCCCTGACCATTTAGTAAACTATTAAGACAATATATTGTGTATATCATAATCATAATAATAAATTTATACTGTATGCATAAACCGAAATTTTTTTTTATTTTTTTTTAAAAAAATAAAAAAAAACTAATGAAATTATAACTTTAAAAAAAAGTTGTCCTGATCTTACATGACAGTATATTCATTATAAAAGTTAGTCTCAATTTTTTACAAAATTTTCAAACTATGTACTGTACATTTATAAATTACGATTTCTTTAAAAAGGAAAAAAAATAAATTTAAAGTTTATAAAAAAGATTTAAAGAATATTTTTTTTATAGTAAAATATAAAATAAAATTCAATTAATATGCAATATTAACTTTGATTATAAATTTGAAGAATATATAAATATAAAAAAAATATGAATAAAATAATATATTTCATTAATAAATTTGATATGATATTAGAATTTTAAAAATAACATTTTTTTTTTATTTTGCAATTTAAATAATTTAAATTACAATAAAACAATAGTATATGCTATATTTATATGAATATGAAATATATAATTTTAAATTATACAATGTGGTTGAAATATTTTAATAGAATTTTTAATAATTATAATTTTTCATAAAAAAAATTAACTATTTGATAAAATTACTTTTAATAATATTCTTATTGAATATTATTTAATACAATAAATTTTACTTTATTTACTTTATTTATTAAATTATGATAAATAAAAAATTGTTATAATTGATTTTTTTATTAAATTATTTATTTATATAAAAAAAAATATTTTTTTTTAAAAAAAGTGTAATTTCAACTTTCTATTATTAAAGTAACAAAAGTAAGAATAAAGTAAATAGTAGTTTAAATAAACTTTATTTATATAGAATTAATATATACTGTACAATTTTAAAATCAGCTATTTTTTAAAGAAAATATGGTATAGTAAAATTATATAAATTTATTTTCAATTTTTTAATATTTTAAATTTCTTTTTAATTTATTTTTATTTATTTTTATTTTTATTTATTTTAAAATTATTTGTAATGTTATTATTTTATTATATAAATGAAAGAGTTATATAATTCATTAAATATAATTTATATATAATTTTTATTTATTTTATTTAAATAATAATATTAATTATATTAAACCACTGAAAAATCTTAAATAAGTTAAAAATTTACTTATTAATTATATAAAATTTTCAAAAAATTACTTATTTTAAAGGTATTTTTCAAAAACTTTACCTAATAATTCAAATTTAATAAATTTACACCATATACAGTAATAATTTTGTTTTTTTAATTTTAATATTTACTAAAATACAAATATATAATATAAAGTAATTTTTATTTAATATAAATAAAAAAATATTAAATTTCTAGTTATATATATATAATTTTATATTGTTTTTAATTTTTTATAAATAAATATTTGTTATATTTCTATATAGTAATTATTTATAAAATTTTTTAATTAATTAATTAATTTTAATTAACTTATTAAAGTATTAAATTTCAGTTTTTTAAACTATTAATATTCTATATAATTAATTTTATAAAATTTTTAGTTTTAATAATTATTAATTAATTTACAGTTATATAAATATACAAGGTAAAATATTTGAAATAATTTTTTTAAAGAATTATTATTATTTATTATATTAATCTTACTTTTTCTTATTAGGTAATAAAATATTTTATTCATTTAAATGGTCATCTCAGAAGATTAAAGATTTATTTCAGCCAGTAAAATTAAAAAATTAAATTTAAGTATACCTTCTAAATTATTTGCTAAACTTTGATTGTTTTATAAAATAAATTTACTAACCTAATCACAATCTGGTAATACCATTTCTATATAACAAAAAAAAATAAAACAAATTTGAAATCTTAAACGAAAATGAGAAAATAATTAATTTATCTTCAATTACTGGTAAATATATTTAACTGAATGTAATAATATTAATATCTGTATTATTAATTTCTTTACTTATATTTATTTTTATTTTTATTTTTTTTTTTAAAACTTTATTATAGATGCGATCATGTCTTATTATAATCAGTTAATCACACTTACTTACATATATAAACTTACAAAATATAAGATAAACAAATACATATAAGAATTAAGCATTATGAAACAAGACTACTTTTCATAAAGAACAAGTCGACCTGTCACCTAAACGATCAAATCATTGTTAAAAACCATGATGCGACCTCAAATTCAAAGGTGACTGTCATGATCTACCTAAAAATTTGCCCAGTGACCGCCACGATGAAATGCCAAATCATTCCATTTATTCCAATTACTTTCTAACATATTACAGTCAACATTTTTAACACCCACTTCAGTGCGTTTACTATGTGACTTAGCTTTTTTATCTTTACCGCTAATACCGCACTGCTTTTCTTCCTTTACTACATGTTATGAATAACGTGCATGTATGATTCTTTCTTTATTAAAAAAGCTGTATGTACATACTATCGGATACAGAATGATGAAATAAACGAAAACAATTTTTCTAAATAATTCGATAAAACTACTGAAGAAGTCTATATATTTTTCTTTCAAATAAAATTTGCCATATGTAAATATAATCAAATATGGAATGATGTGAAACTAAAAATAAATTAAATAGACAAAAATGACTATATATTTTTCTTTCTAACCAAATAGCCTTATGTAAATATTATCAGATAAGGAATGATCTAAAATCCTAAAATAATTATTCATGTTTTCCCTTTTGATAATTTGTTTCTTACATCAGGAAATTTGTTTAGGCGTAATTTAGTGTAATATTTCGAAGGTGGTGTAAAATTTCGAAATATTACACTAAAAACGTAATATTACAAAAGTTTACGCTCTTAAATTTGAATAATTATAGTAATTTAAGAATATCTCGCTATCTACTGATCCAAT